ACACGTCACCCCCAGTCCTCACCTCAGTGGCCAGTCTTGAAAAGAGTGCACTGCCAATAGCATTGGGTGGGCTAGCCTCTGGCTCAAAATTAGGCAGGCGATTGGTCATTGCTCCCACGCGCTGCCCTCAGGGGCGCAGCACAGACTTCGGGACGCCCCCTTGCCGCAGGTATCGTCCCTGATGAATTCTCGACCATTCTGGCCCAAGCCACTTTGACTCAAGGCTCAAGGGGGTCAAGGGGCACTTCCAAGGCTCTTCACACTCACTCTTCGCACTTTCCGCATCCGTGTTTGCGAACGCGGGTAAACTGAGGTATTGCCGCTTCCTGCCTTCGCGAGCGCGCCGCAGTCCGGCAGCCGTGCCCCGCTGAAGTTCGTCAAGAAGATGGAGGCTGTGCTGTCCTAGATCCCTCCTCCACATTGGCCAAGGACCACCCAGGGGGCTGGTACTCCGGTTCGCGACTTGCTGACGTGCAACGCGTGGGGGAAGATGAACGTCGCGCGCACGGGGCCTGGTCCTGCCTCGCCTTCCCCGCCTCTACCCGAAGATGGCCGTTACCTGCGCATGGAGGATGACGGGGGGAAGGGTGAGGAGGAACCGATTCCATCGCCGTTCGTGTGGCCGCATCCTGGGAAGGTACGGGGGATGGGAACTCGCAGGAAGAGGAGGTTACGATGCTCGGCGTATGGGGTGCTACTTCGGCAGGAGCGCACTCCCGTCACAGCCTCGGTGGAAGAGTTGCGCCTGGGGTTCAGCGCTGTGGACACCCGCCTCAACGATTCCATGGTGGGCGTGAATAGACGCTTGCAGCCTGTGGGGAGCTGGCTGGGCGTGTCAGAAGTCAGGATCGAGACGCTGGAGAGCATGGCCAAGAGCCTTGAGGCCCCTCGGTCAGTCGGCGCCGTGCCTCCCTCCCTAAGGCTCCGTTCAGCGCGCGGACATGGACAAGCGGCACGTCGCGGCTGTGATTGGCAACCTGGGCGCGCTGAGCAGCGTGGCGGAAGCGACCGCGTGGTTGAAGGATAAGCTGATGGCGCTGAGGGGCCCAGGCCCGAGCAATGCATGCTCCAAAGGGGCATTCACAAGCATCTTGTTCGCAGAGTTCCAGGGGGCCACGGAAAGAGACGCCGCTGTGGATCGCCTGCGGCGGGTCTCCAGTCGGGCGAGGGGGAAAGGCTTGTGGCGACTCCTGACCGCCCCATGGAACTTTGGTTCGGCCCCGAGCCTTTGGTTCGGCCCCAAGCGGCTCTCCAATAACGAGTGGCAGCTAAAGTGCCGCGTGAATCTCTCCGATGAGGCCACATATTTGGTCTCAGTTGGCGGAGAGAATGCGTTGGTGGTTCGCGTCGAGGACAATTCTGTGCAGTGTGAGTGGCTCGGCGACAGGGGGGCCTGGGAAGAGCCGCGTGCGAGTCGTATTGTTCAGGACCTTTTCCAGGAGAGCGCGGGCGTGCTTTCCTGGGCAGGCCAGGACATGAAGGGCTCGATGGGCCAGGGCGTCAGAGGAGGTTCAAAGGGAGGCCGGGCGGGGCCCGGGCCCCACTTGCAAATGCGGTGCGTAAGCAATTTTTCAATGTTTCACCGGCAGTCGATATTACCGCGTTGCGAACCCTATTCGTTTACGAATTCGCATGTGCGCGGGCGCCCCAGCGGCATGCGGCAGCGCTGACAGCGCGGGCGCGCCGGCGGCCGGCAACGTTGCAGTGGGGGCTTCTACCGCGGCGAGCCCGACGCAAATGGCGCTGCGTGAAAGATCTGGCCCTATATCCCCATGCTGCCGCAGCGTGCGAGTGGCGACCTGGGGCGTGGAAAGGCTCGCAGAGGCCGAACGCAACGGGCGCGAATGGCGCGCGGAAGAGGTGGGCATTGGCGTCATCTGCTTGCGGGGGGTGCACCCGGCAGGGTCTGCGTGTCGCGTCGCAGACTTCGGTTTCCTCGTGATTCTTCCTGGCGTCGCAGGCGCAGGCGGCGGCGACGCAGCCGTGGTGGGTTTTTCATTGCGGCTGAGCTTCGCAGGGGCGTCGCGCGATTTCGCGCAACAGTCGGCGAGGGTGGCCGGTCTGAAGCGGCGGGTGACAGGCGGCAAAGCAGTGGGGCGCAGCGGGCGCGCCCCCCCGCAGTGGCTGGCCAACCGCCGAGCGGAAATTATTCCATGCGGATCTAGGCGCGTTCTTGGAAAGCGCGCCCCGTCATGGCCCTCTCTTGCTCATGGGTGCCTCCAGCGCCAGGCTGCGCAGGGGGCCCCCTGGCGAGGAGAGCGTCGGGGGGGGGCGCGTGCTCCGCGAGCGCGCGACCGGGTGCAACGTGTCGTCCAACTGAAGTCTCCTCGCAGAGCTCTGCGTCAGACTGGCGCTCTTTGATGTTCTTCGCGCGGCCGCCCGGGGGGCTGGCGACCTGCTGCGACGTGGGCAAGACGCCGAAGCGCGAACTCGCGCCGGACAATTTCGGCCAGATCGACTTTGTATTCGCGCGGGCGCCAGCTGATCTCGCGCGCAGGGGCCGTGACAGAGCGCTCTCGTCGCGCCATGTGCTGGCGCTGTCCGATTTGGACATCCGCGCCGCGAAGGAGACCCGCAGAGCAATTTGTAGACCCTGCTTGGCGATTCTGACATCAGCGATCCATCCCTATTTGCAGAGCGCCAGCCCCGCGAGCGTGGACGCGAGCGAGATCGAGCATGAGATGGCAGAGACCTTCCGCGCAGCCGCCTCGCAAGCTTTGCGCGAGCTGTCCGTCGTCCCGCGCAAACCTCGGATTTCGTCGAGGACCGTGGGCGCCATTGAGCAGCGGGCGCTGCGGCGCAGACGTGGCGACGTCGCGCGCGAGTGGGCACTCGACGCAGACGTCGAACGGTCGTTGAAGGGCCACGGGGGCAAGTGGCTGGGCTGTCTCCGAGCAGAATGGGGCGCGGCAAGAAGCGCGCGAGCTTCGCGAAGGCATCTGGCCGTGACAGGGCGGTGTCCAGAATCAGGCAGACTTCGCGATTGAATCCGATGCTCGCGCTGAGACGCTGCCGCGCTGACCGAGCTATTGCGGCGAAGTTCAGTGGGCCATTCGCAACGCCTCCGCTCATGAATGCCCGCCCGCTGGGCCCCCTGCTCCAGGCGGGCGCCGACGATATCGCGGTCGAGGAGGTGGCTGCGGCGGCCAGAAATATCAGTGGGGGCAAGAGCAGGGTCCAGACGGCGTGCAAGGGTGCCCCTGAAAAGCGGTCTGCACGAGGCACTCGCCAGCGCGTTCATGGGCACTGGATTTGTGCCAGACTTTTTTTTTCCTTCATTCTTCTCCCCTTCCAGGCGCCTAGCGCGAATCCCTCGTCGTGGCGATCGTCAAGATCGGCGACCCCGGGTTCGGAGGTTGATGGGCCTCCTACCCTGGCGCGTCGATTAGTGGACTGGCCGCTCTCGGTTCGCGAGGGGGCGTCGCGGCCGTTAGTTTTACGGGTCCAGATCCGTCGGCAGCTTTTGCGAAACATGATTATGGAGAGGTTTGTCCACCGCCGACAGGTTGTGCGCGAACTACAGGCCGATCTGTCCATTGCAAGCTGGTTACAAGCTCTGAGCCGCAGTGCTACTGCAGAGACTCAGGGCCGAGGAAGCTGAGCGCCGCGTGCGGTGCGCGCAGTTCGGCTGCAAGCAGCTGGCTCGCTCCCGCCGCTGCCGCAGGGCGGCGCCGCGCCGCCCGCGCTGCCTTGGGCGGCGACTGCTGCTGGTCGCTGGTCACGGGCTGCCTCGCAGGGGTCGCGTGGCCGCTGTCGCCGTTCTCGCAGTCGGGCCGCTGCTGGCAGGACCGCGCGGCAGCGGCGCCCGTCGCGCTGGGCTCGTCCAGGGCGCGCGCCTGATCGTCGTAGAGGTCGTCGGATGTTGACGGGAATCGCTGAGGTCGATCATCTCCAACGCCTCCACGCCCATGCTGTTCCGAACCCTCCGCTCGTTCAGCGCCGCCTCCTGCCTGCCCGCAAACTTCGCTGCCACCTTGGCGATGTGGGAGTAGCCCTCCTGCGTCTGGGTGTCCGTGATCTGGTGCTCCACCCCGCCGCTGTCACCGATTGCGCTTGACTTGGCTCCGCCTGGGCCAGGGGGTTCCACCTGGGGGGGGGGGGAGGGGGGCAACTGAAAACAGAAGAATCGTCAACGATGTTGGAATAAACCCTTCCTCCAAACTCCCCTTCATCAGGCCCCGGCAAGGGCTGATTTCCAGTGGGGGAAGTGCCTTGTTGGGCAAGAACCGTTTGTAGACCCTGATGCGCACCAGAAAACCAATCTCAGGACTCCAGCTCTGCGAATCAACCTGAGTGCTGCGTCTTGACGATCCAGAATCGTGTCACAACGATTTTCCTGGGACGTCAGCATCGCGAACTCACGTACTTAATTGTTGCGCCCTCACTGTCGTGAGTCCTCCAGAATACCGTTTTTGAGAAATTGACCATGGGACTCCTTGATACTCTTGCGAACATTTAAGACGAAGGTGCGCGGCGCTACGGTAAGAGCCACATTTTGAAAATGAGCCGCCTTCAGCCCGTGAAAGTCTTGCACATTTGAAGACAACTGGTGCGCGGCGCTCAGGCGAGAGACACATTTTGAAAACCACCCGCCCTCAATCCGTGAAGCTTTTGCATTTTGTTCATACGAATGTGCGCGGCGATAAAACGAGAGTCACATGTCGAAAACGACCCATTGTCAATCCGTGAGTTTCTTGCGAACTTTTAGAAAGAATGTGCGCTTCGCTAAGGCGAGAGCGACATTTTGAAAAGGAGCCGCTTTCAATCCGTTAAATTTGTGTTGATTTAAAAAACGAATGTGCGCTGCACTAAAGCGACAAACACATTTTGAAAACCACCCGCCTTCCACTTGTGAACTTGATGCCAATTTCTGAGGTTCAGGGCCATAGATGGTGAGGAAGTTTGAAGCGTAACGCCCAGCCCGCCCTTTCGACCGGCTTCGGGGTGCGACAGGGAGGAGTTAGGACAAATAGTGGAGGAGGGCAGGGCAGCCGCGCGCTCGAGGCGGCGAGGCGGAGGGGGGTGCTCCCCCTTTCCGACCCCCTCCTCCTCCTCCTCTTCCTCCTCCTCCTCCTCCTCGTCTCCTTCCCCTCTTCCCCTCCTCCCGTCCTCCCCTCCGCCCTCCCCTCCCTCTCCCTCCCTCCTCTCGTGGCAGGGGGAGCCACCAAGACGAGAAGGCGAGGCGCTTGCGCGCAAAAAAAACGCGGGCGGTGGCGAGGCGTAGGGAATGCCCCTCCGCCTCCGCCAGGAACGCCCAGCGGCACAACACCTCATAGCGGTGGTGCCGGATTGCATGAAGCAGCTCAACAAGCAGCTGCGATCCAAGGCCCCTCCCCCTCCTCCTCTTCCTCCTCCTCCTCCTCCTCCTTCTGCTGCTCATTGGAGGAAGAGGTACCCATGCCGCTACCCTCCTCCCTCGTTTTCGCCTTAGTGGGCCTCCTGGGAGGCTCCCGTCGTCACGGCCGTGTTCGCCTCGGAATCCAGGGCAGAGCGCACCCTTGGAGAGGTCCGGGGAATATCGGCATCGGAGAGAATAGGCAACCTTCCCAAGGGCGCCCTTGCATCTTTGCCTCCTCGGTCCGTCCTCAACTCCTCTCGACTGCCGGCCCATCTCGAAGAGCCTCGACATGGGCGTCCAAGGGGCTTGCATCCTTTCCTACCAGTTTTGGCTGTATACCTCCTGCGATCCAAGTCCCCCCCACTTGCTGTTGCGTCCCCCTCCGCCCCTGGCCGCACCTGCTGCTTTTCCTGTGCCTGCCTGCCCGTCCGGGCGACTGCTCCGCCGGAGCTGGCACGCACTTTCGAACTGAACAGACTTTTCCTCCTCCTCCTCCTCCTCCTCCTCCTCCTCCTCCTCCTCCCCGTCCTCTTCCACCTTCCTCCTCCTCCTCTCCTCTCCTCTCTCCTCTCCTCCTCCTACCTCCTCCTCCTCCTCCTCCTCCTCCTCCTCCTCATCCTCCTTCCTCCTCCTCCTCCTCCCCTCTCTCCTCCTCCCCCTTCATCCTTCCTCCCCCTCCTCCCCCTCCTCTTCCACTTCTCCTCTCCCTCTCGCAGCGCCTTCGGGCGTCCGGCGTCCCCACGGGTCGCCGCGCCTCGCTCGACGCGCGGCCGAGCGCACGGGGCCGGCCTCCCCCTCCTCCCCCTCCTCCCCCTCCTCCTCCTCCCCCTCCTACTACCTCCTCCCTCCTCCTCCTCCTCGTCCTCCTCCTCCTCCTTCCTTCTCTCCTCCCTCCTCCTCCTCCTCCTCCTCCTCCTCCTTCTCCTCCTTCTCCTCCTTCTCCTCCTCCTCCTCCTCCTCCTCTCCCGCAGTGCATCTTGCCGCAAGCCTCGTGCATTTCACCATCGTTTGCCAGCTCCGCCTCTTCTTGCGTGTCAGCCTTCGTCGCAGTGCCCGTCCCCTGGCAGGTCCTCGCAGTTTTCTATTTCCTCGGCTGCTGCAGCCCATACGTGTTCATCCTCTGCGTCATCTGACTCAATCCCGTCGTCGTCGCCAGTCTCTACCATGTGAACATGCCGCGTCTGCCGAACCGCTGCCGTGCCTCTCTTTTGTCGTCGATGGTAACCTCGATGTCGGCTTTGGCTATGGTAGAGGTCGCACAAGCGCGGTCTGACCCCGCTTGGCTTCATGCTGCTCCCAGCAAACTCGATGAAGTGGTACCCTGTGGCGTCTGTCAGGTCGATCTCTTCAGGCATTGCACCCCGTGGTCGCATCGCTCAACTATTTTTTGTTTCATCTCATTTTGCAGGTTCATATTTGACCAGACACGGGTGGCTCTGCACACAGGTGTCGATGCATGTGCAGTTGCGTTTTTTCGTAGACCAATCGAGGCACATACTCTAGATGCTTTGCGTGACCCCACCAGCCCATCCAGAAACGATGCCCAGTCGAGTTACATGGAGGAGGAGACGGAGGAGGAGGAGGGCGAGCAGAAAGGCCAGAGGCCTCTTGGATGCCTTTCGGAGTCTTCGGATGTCGCTCGAGAGCTTCTTGGAGTCCTCTTGGGGCGCCTTGGGGGCCTCTTGGCGGCCCCGGGGGCATCTTGGTGTGTCTTGGGTGCCTCGGGGGAGCCTCTTTTGGCATATTTGAGGTTTCTTGTGAGCCTCTTGGGGGCCTCTTGGGGTCTCCTGGGCGCCTCTTTCCATGAAAGAAGGGGGGGTATCAAATTAGGGCCCCCCTTCTACAGGAGGCCTAAACTCGGAACTTGGCCCGTAACCTCAGTAACACCCATGATTTTTACCTCCTCGCCGAGGCCTCCTTGGATGGTTCGAACCCCCCCCCTGCAGTTGAGGCGGGGGCCCCCCCGGTTCGAACCCCCCTCCCCTGCACCAGGGGGGGGGCCCCCCGGTTCGAACCCCCTTCCCCTCTGCAACTCCGGGGAGGGGGGCCCCCCTCCTTCTCCTCCTCCTCCTCCTCCTCCTCCTCCTCCTCCTCCCTTTCCTCCTCCTCCTCCTCCTCCTCTTCCTCCTCCTCCTCCCTTTCCTCCTCCTCCTCCTCCTCCTCCTCCTCCTCCCTTGCCTCCTCCTCCTGGTTCGACCCTCCCCCCTCCCTGGAGGGGGGCGGGGCCTCCCCGTCCCCCGGTCGAGCCCCTCCCCACTCCACCGGTCGAATCACCCCCCCCGTCTTCCCAGCGTCCACGGAAAGCGCTACTTATGATGCTGCTGCTGATGTTGCTGCTGCTGCCGATGATGATGATGGTGGTGGTGGTGGGGATGATCGTGGTGGTGGTGATGATGATGATGGTGGTGGTGGTGATGTTGATGAAGATGATGATGAGCATGATGATGATGCTGCTGGTGATGATGCTGCTTATGATGACTATTAGGGTGATGATGATGACGATGACGATGACAATGAGGGTGATGATGATGCTGATGATGCTGATGATGCTGATGACGGTGATGGTGATGGTGATGGTGATGGTGATAATGATGATGATGCTGGTGATGATGCCGATGATGATGCTGATGATGATGGTGATGGCGATGATGCTGCTGCTGATGATGATGATGATGATGATGATGACGATTGCAATCATGATGCTGCTTATGCTGATCATGACAACTGTGATGCCGCTGCTGCTGCTGATGATGTTTTAAATGACGACGATGTTGATGATGATGATGATGATGATGATGATGATTATGTTGATGATGATGGTGATGGTGATGACGATGATGATGATGATGATGATGATGATTATGTTGATGCTGATCATGTTGATGATGATCATGATGCTGATGAGATGGTGATGATGATGATGATGATTTTGCTGTTGCTGCTCATGATGCTGAGGTTGATGACGATGATTATGATAATTATGATGCTGCGGTTAATACTGCTGCTGATGACGACGATGATGATTCTGCTGATGATGACGATGCTGATGCTGATGATACTGGTGATGATGCGGACGATGATGATGCTGATGATGACGATGCTGATGACGATGATGATGATGATGATGATGATGATGATGATGATGATGGTGGTGGTGGTGATGATGATGGTGGTGGTGGTGGTGATGTTGATGAAGATGGTGATGAGCATGATGATGCTGCTGATGATGCTGCTGATGATGACTATGAGGGTGATGATAATGACGATGAGGATGACAATTAGGATGATGATGATGCTGATGATGCTGATGATGATGATGATGACGGTGATGGTGATGGTGATGGTGATGGTGACAATGATGATGATGTTGGCGATGCTGCCGATGATGATGCTGATGATGATGGTGATGGCGATGATGCTGCTGCTGCTGATGATGCTGACGATCGCAATCACGATGCTGCTGATGCTGATCATCATAACGGTGATGCCGCTGATGCTGCTGCTGATTAGGTGTTTGATGACGACGATGTTGATGATGATGATTCTGTTGATGATGATGGTGATGGCGATGATGATGATGCTGCTGATGATGATGATGACGATGCTGACAATGTTGATGATGATCATGATGCTGATGATATGGTGATGATGATTTGATTTTGCTGTTGCTGCTCATGATGCTGAGGTTGATGACGATGATTATGATACTTATGATGATGCGGCTAATACTGCTGCTGATGACGAGGATGATGATTCTGCTGATGATGACGATGCTAATGCTGATGATACTGGTGATGATGCGGATGCTGATGATTCTGATGATGACGATGATGATGACGATGATGATGATGATGATGATGATGATGATGATGATGACGAGGATGCTGATGATGACGATGATGATGATACTGATGGTGATGGTGGTGATGATATGATAATGGTGATGATGATGACGAAGAAGAAGCTGACGATCATGCTGATGAGGTTCCCGAGTATTGCGGGTATGCAGTTGAGGGTTATTATGACGATTGCAATCATACTGCTGATGATGCTGATGATGCTGACAACGACGACCATGATGATGATGACCAAGAAGAAGCTGACGATCATGCAGTTGAGGGTGATGATGACGATTGCAATCATGATGCTGATGATGCTGATGATGACGACGACCATGATGATGATGGTGGTGATGATGATTATTATGATGCCGACGACGACCATGATGATGATGATGATGATGATGATGATGATGATGATGATGATGATGACGATGATGATGATATTGATGATGATGATGATGATGATGATGATGACGATGGTGCCGCTGATGCTGCTGATGCCGATCATGATGACGGTTTTGCTGCTGATGCTACTGGTGTTGATGTTTTTGATGACGATGGTGATGATGCTGTTGATGACGATGATGATGATGATGCTGCTGCTGATTATGAAGAAGCTGGCGATCATGCTGATGAGGTTGCCGACTATTGCGAGTATGTAGGTGAGGTTGATGATGACGATTATCACGATGATGATGCTGACGATGCCGACTATGATGACGATGATGATGACGATGATGAAGCTGATCACGATGATGATGCTGATGAGGATGCCGATGATGATGATTGTGATGGTGATGATGATGACGACGACGATGATGATACCATGATGATGACGATGATGAGGATGACGATTATGAGGATGATGAGGATGATGAGGATGATGCTGCTGATGACTCTGGTGATGTTGATGATGAAGCATGAAGGTGATGATGATGATGATGATGATGATGATGATGATGATGATGATGCTGATGATGCTGATGATGACGACGACCATGATGATGATGATGATGATGATGATGATGATGATGATGATGATGATGATGATGATGATGATGATGATGATGATGATGATGATGATGATGATGATGATGATGATGATGATGATGATGATGATGATGATGATGATGATGATGATGATGATGATGATGATGATGATGATGATGATGATGATGATGATGATGATGATGATGATGATGATGATGATGATGATGATGATGATGATGATGATGATGATGATGATGATGATGATGATGATGATGATGATGATGATGATGATGATGATGATGATGATGATGATGATGATGATGATGATGATGATGATGATGATGATGATGATGATGATGATGATGATGATCTGATGATGATGATGCTGATGCTGATGATGCTGATGATGATGATCACGAGGAGGAGGAGGAGGAGGAGGAGGAGGAGGAGGAGGATGATGGAAGAGGAGGAAGATGGTGGAGGAGGGGACCGATGAGACGAGGAGAAGGGATGAGGCGCAGACCCTCTGTCGCCGCCCGCTTCCCACGACGAGCTGCCCTGGCTCCCGCGCGCCGCGCAGGCGGCCAAGACCCGGCAGGGGGCCATGGCGCTGCTGCGGACTCTGCGCTCCCGCCCGTGCGCTTGTTTTTTGTCAGGGGGCCACATGCGAACCCTACCCCTACCCCCCACGATTTCTGATGGGGAGGGTGGGGTTCACTCGGGGTCCTGAAGAAGGAACGCTTTTCGTTTGGGAGGGGCTCGGTGTTCCTTGACTGTTTCACAGTTTGCCTCGGGGTCCCCTCAGGTTTTTGTATGGGAAGTCGACGTTTAACTTATGGAAAGGAGGGGCCCCGTTCCTTATTTAAGGGTTCCTTAGGTCAGCGCAGCCGACGGTATCAGTACAGGGAGGACGGATGGACTCGGATGGTGATTCGTCTTCCTCTTGGGCCTCCCGGGGGCTCCCTCTTCCGCGCGGGGGCCGCGGGCAGGGAGGCCGGCGCCGGCCCGAGAGAAGTCCGCGCGGGCCCGATGACGTTTGTGCGTGTGTGCGTCTGCTTCTTTTCTGCTGGCAGCGGATGCCCTGCGCCCTCTTAGGGGGCCACATGCGAGCCCTGCCCCTCCCCCCCAGGAATCGTGGGGGGCAGGGGCAGGGCTCGCATCCGGCCCCCCACCTCTGCCACCGCCGCCCCCCCATGCGGAGCCACCCTGGGAAGATCGGGGGACGACCCCACGGTCGTTGAAAGTAGGTATTTTTGGAACCCCAGATCCCAATCTACTTCAAGCGCCTTCCTACTTCAAGAACCGATCTGAGTTTGTTATGGTTTGTTATTCTGTAGGAGGGCCTGAACCCAATCTACTTTGTCCGCCTTCCTACTTCATGTTTCTACCCACTTCTTCCGACCGGCGTGTAAAATAAACTTTCTCTCGCTGTCGGGGGCGCCTGTCCCTGGGCGGCTGGAAAGTTTATGCCCTTACGGTGGCACCGTAGGGGTATAAACTTTCCAGCCGCCCAGGGACAGGCGCCCCCGACAGCGAGAAAAAGTTTATTTTATACCGTTCTTCGCCTGTTAATTGGGGAGTTCTTGGGGCTCCGTCGGGCCACTCGGGAGCCTCCTCGGGGCGTGCGGGGGCCTCCGCGGGCCACCACTTGTGGTCATCTTGTGCAGCATTTGGGCCCTCTGTGGGCCACCCTGGAGACTCCTAGTGGCATGGCGGGGCATGCTGGGCCCTCTTTGGCTGTCTTGTGGCGTCCCCTTGGAAATCTTCGGGCAACCTACTTAGCACAGCTGGCCCCGTAAGTAGTACAGTCGGGGCCCTGAAGAAGGAACCCTTTTCGTTGGGGAGGGGCTCCGTGTTCCTCAATTGTTTCGCAGCTTGCCTTGGGTTTTCCTTAGGTTTTCGATACGAAATCGAAGTTCAACTTATGGAAAATAGGGGCCTTGTTCCTTATTTAGGGTTCCTTAGGTCAACGCCCCGACTGTAGACAGTCGAGAGGAGACAGGACTGCGGAGACAAGAAACATAACAGAGGAGACGAGGCCCACACCAAGCTGGCGCTCCCGAGCGGGCTGGCGTATGATGGTGGTGGCCTTCGGCTCGCCCGCCACCGTGCTCGTTGGTCGTGGTCCAGGGCTCTCTGGGAGGCCGCCTTGGGGATTCCCTGGGAGCCGCTCGAGGGCCCCTCGGAGGCCTCTTCGCGCTTCCTTGGGGCTTCTCGGCGACCTGGGTCCTCTCGGGGGCGTCTTGGGGGTCCGCAAGCGGTCTCGGGGGCTGTCTTGAAGTCTTCAAGACAGCCTTCTGGGTAATCGTGCGTCTCGTGCTGCCTTGCCACAGGCTCGAGTCCACGACGCCCCTTGGCGTCGCGTTGATGCCGCCCCGATTTGCCAGACCGCAGATGCACAGATAGGCAGAATATGTGTTTCAACGTTTGTTTCAGGACCCTTTTCTATAGTAACAGACCCACGTTGGAAACCAACTTGAAGGATGGTTGCTCCCGAGGCCTCCTCGATTTTCTCCTCCCCGGTTCCGTTCGGGGCCTTCGTCTCGGGTTCTCTTGGGGTCTCTCTTCTCGGGGCTTGTGGGCCTCGGGCCCTCATTGAGCACAACTTTCAATGTTGAGGGCTTTTTGAGGACCGGAGGGAACTCCACTGAATCTGCGCCAGAGGCACGGTGATACATCATAGCAGTAGTGACACATTTCGTTTCTTTGATATATATATATAGGTGTATATACACAGATGTGTGTATACATAATGTTGGTAGCACTGTGGTTGGCAGCAGTAGCAACAGCAGTTGTGGTAGTGGTAGTACTGGTTGTTTGCTTGTTTTGTTTTCTTTGTTTTAGGGTGAGGGTGGTGCTGTAGAGGGTAGTTTGATGGTACCGTTTCCCTTTTTTTGAAGTTGTATCTTGTTTTCTCTTCGCCACGCTGATTGGACTTGACATCTGGCGGATGGTTCGGCTTTGGATGCCATTGCGCTGTGGAGCGAACAATGCTGACGGGACGAGGAGGACGAACACAAGTACGAGGAGGAGGGTTACGATGAGACGCTGGAATGATGAAGAAAAGGGGGATGGTGATGATGGTGAGGAGAAGGAGGTGTGAGAGAAGGAGGAAGAGGAAGAGGAAGAAGAGGTGGAGGAGGAGGATACGTTGGAGTTGGGGGAGGCGGATGAGAAGAATGGAGGGGAGGGGGATGACGAGGAGGAGGAGGACGAGAAGGAGGAGGGGGATGCAGATGAGGAGTCTGTGTGCACCCACGGTGGTCAATCAGACAGTTTTTTTTTTCGTTCTAGCCCTGCCGTCTTCTTATGGTGCGACCTAGTCATGAATGTCAAGGACTGACAGCTTCTTCTGCGCTCGGCTTCTTGCCCCATGATCGCGCAGTACATTCTGGCCGCCCCTTCCCTGGCTGATTCTGGTTGTGTTCGGTTGTCTTCGGTGGTCCGTCGGTCCGGGGCAGTGGTGAGAGAGCCGCGTGCCTCTGAAGCCGGATCCAGCTTAATAAGACACGCAGTTCTCTTAAGCCAGATCCGTCTTTCGAGCCGGATCCGGCTTCAAGAACACGCGGACCACTGGGGCCCATGCGGCGACAAAAGTCACGATGCCGGCTGTCTAGCAGCGCGGGGGGCCAGGCCGTCTGCGAGCAGGGCCCAAGGCGCGCGCGCGGACGAGCTGGGGCCAGGCGGCGTGCTGACAAGCAACGCGCTCTCGTGGCCCCGGCCTTGGTGTCCCCCGCGACCATCGGGAGCCTTGACACGGGGGTCAGTGCAAACGGGGGTCAGCCATGACACCGGATCCTGCAGGATCCTGCGAAGGCCCCTCTGGCTGACGGTTAGCGAGCCGCTCGTGGCCGCGAGGCGGCCGCGCATATTGGCTGACCCGGATTTGCGAAGACCTGCGTTGCAGTATTTTTTTTGTTTGTTCCTGCATTGCAGTTTTTTGGTTTCCTGCTGACCCGGGTCTGGATTGACCCGGGTCAGAAGATCCCCGAGACCAGAGCAGCCGGCGGGCAACCTTGGGGGGCCACATTCGAGCCCTACCCTTACCCCCCACGGCTTCTGAGGGGGCAGGGGTAGGGTTCGGCAGTGCCCCCCTAAATCGGAGGTGGATGGACCTCCTACCCTGACACGTCGATTAAGGATTTGGTCGTTTTCGGCTCGCGAGAGGGCGTCGCGGCCGTCATTTTTGCGGGTCCAGGTCCGTCGGTTTCGGTCCCAGGCCGTTTTCACTAAGGGGAGGCTTACTAAAGGGAGGTTTGTCCACCGCCGACTAAACCTGGCTGGCGTTGGGCGGAGATCCAGCAGCTCCCTCTCACAGGGCCGAGCAGCTCACTGCACTCTGAGGCCTGTGATGCCCTAGGAGCCTCAGATGGAGTCACCCACGGCAGAATCTCCTGTGAGGTGTGCAGCGGAGATACTGATGACATTTTGTGATTATATTTGTAGTCTTTGGGAAGTGTCTCTCAAGGAGGCTGATTTGAGGACACTGGTGAATCATTTTGAGGCCTGCCGGCGAGCGACGGCCGAGGAGCCACCGACGGACCACCGACGGACAGCTCGGCAGCAGCAGCCAAGTCCGGCGGCCGAGCGCCCGAGAGCCCGACAGGGACAGGGGCAGCCGAGGGCCCCGAGCGGCCGAGGCCCAGGGCTGCCGAGGGCCCGGGCGCAGCCAGGGCCACCGGCGGACCGCCGACGGCCGCCGGAGACTCGAGGGCGGCAAAGAGGGTCACCACCCACCAAACCACCCCAACCCAACCCGAAGGCTCAGATTTACCCTCGATTTCTAGTGGGGGGGTCGGGAAACATCGAAAGAACACGTGTGGAGCCCTTACCCCCCCCCCAACCCGAAATTCGGGTCTTCGGGTTGGGTTGGGGTGGTCTGGTAGGTAGTCAGTCAGAGGGGGGTGATGACTTAGGGGGGGGGGGATATCATGGCGCGGGCCATGATAGTTCCCCAGGTTTCGTGGCGCCCTTCTCCCATTTCATTGCGTCCCTGGCCCCCCCGCTGGGCCGCGCACGCGCCGCCGGTCATGATTTGCACCCCCCCCCTCTTGGACACCCCCCTCTCGGCCGCTCCCGAGAAACCACCCGGGTCGGCCGCCCTCCGCTGTCCGGCGCGCAGCACAGCCCCCGGGCTTGCAGCGGGGCTCTGGGGAGGTGGGGCCACTGCAGGGAGCTGGGGGCGAGTGCGGCCGCTGCCCTCTCGTTGTCGGGGCCCCGGCCCAGCCGTAGGATGTCATGTCCCATGGGAGGATGGCAGTGATCGCTTATGGTGATGGTGCTGGATAGAGAACCTACGTTTTAGACTAGGGGTCATTGGGGGGGGGGGCGGATCAGAAGGTTGATGAAGAGGGAGAAGGGTGCGGAGGAGGGACGGGATGAGATAGGGAAGGAAGGGGCGCATGGGGCCAATTGGAGGATGCGGATGAGGATGAGAAGAAGGATGGAGTTGAGGATAAGAGGAGAACTATGCGGGTGAGGAGGGATGTCGATAGTGGCTACGATGGTAACGATGGCGACGTAGCTATGATGATGATTATGGTGGTGAGGAGGATGAGTATCATGACATTGAGTATTCCCATGATCGTCATGCTCACGACGCCGACAACGATACCAAGCATATTACGACCGCGGTGACGGCTGACAGGGGGGGTTAACGGTGATGCTTCTGACATCGATGACGACGGTGATGGCGACGGTGATGACGATGAGTACGACGATGCTGGTGTTTGCGGGTGTGGCTGTGCTGATCACGCGATGACGATGGCGGTGATGACGACGACGAGAGGCGAGGCCTCTCGATTTCTGGGCTCCTTGCCCGCGCTGCCCGAGGCTCGCCTGTCAGGGGGAGGAGGAGGAGGAGGAGGAGGAGGAGGAGGAGGAGGAGGAGGAGGAGGAGGAGGAGGAGGAGGAGGAGGAGGAGGAGGAGGAGGAGGAGGAGGAGGAGGAGGACGAGGAGGACGAGGAGGAGCGTGCGTGCGCGCGCGCGCCTCGCCCCTCCACCCCGGGGGCGCAGGTCGGAGTGCCTGCCGCAGCAGATCGAGCCCAACTTGCCGCAGGTGTCTCCCCCTTCCTCCCCCCCGTCCTGTGTCGGGAGGGGGAGGGGCGAGGCATGGACGCAGGCGGAGGGAGCAGTTTTGTTGCTGCTGTTGTCGTCGTTGTTGTTGTTGTCGTTGTTGTTCTTGTTGTTATTGTCCTTGTTGTTGTTGTTGTTGTTGTTGTTGTTGTTGTTGTTGTTGCCGTTGTGGTTGTGGTTGTTGTTGTTGTTGTTGAACATTATTTATTCTAAAGAATAATTATTGTTGGGCCCCCTGGTGCGCGCCCCCCCTGCGCCGCCTAGGCCGCAGCTACATTTTCATCATTTTCGTGAGGAAGCCTCAGAAAAGAGGGTGTGTACAGGATCCGGTTGTTTTGTTGTAATCCGCTTTCCCTTGCAAAAAACAATAGAAAATGACATTTCTTGTTCTAATATAATCAAATTTCAAGAATCCCTTGCAAAAAATAAGGTAAAGTGGACATTCGCGCGCGCAAGACGAAATCCTTCCAAAACCTTAGTGTTCGCAGCGATTTTAACATAAAAACATCAAAAAACCAATGGTTTTTCAACAAAAAAATGTCAAAATCTCATCCCGCGCGCTCTTGCGGATTCGTAGGAAACCCAACACTTTTTAAACATTTCTGTCAAACGGGCTTTTGCGAGCAACTTTTTCGAACTTCTGCGACAACGGTTGCGCACCTGCCAGGGCCATCATCCCTGTCAAATAATACCATGCGGGACACATTCGTTTTTTCTTCGCGCGCGCACGCCGAAATCTCCAAAAACCATTGGGCTTCTTAAGAATTTTAGCACCTGGGCATCGAGTATAATACAGCTTTCAAATTATGCGGGGCGCTCCGACAGTTGGATCCACCACTGTATGTGACAGATCAGGTCGCAAAGATGTGGCTACTGCAGTATTCTTCCAAAGAGACGCTTGTCAAAGTGCAGAACGCTGGCCATCTGGAGACCTGGTATGGAGAACGTATTCGCAAAGACATGCCCGAGGGGACTACTGACGGGGCCGTGTTGAAGCAGTGGCTCCTGGGACATTTATCTGTATCTGCTGACGCCAGGGTATGCCAGAAGTGGCTCAGCACGGAGTGGGGCGACAAGGGAGCATTGAACACTGCCCAAGCTGTGGAGGACTGTATAGGCCAGCGTCCTTTCCTGCTTGTCCTGCTCCTCCTCCTCCTCCTCCTCCGGCGGGGGGCGTGAGGATCCGGCATCGCTCACAACCATCGGGACAACCATCGGGACAACCATCGGAACAACCATCCGGACAACCATCGGGACAATCATCGGGACAGTCATCGGGACAACGATCGGGACAAGCACAACCATCAGGACAACCATCGGGACAATCATCGGGACAACGATCGGGACAACCACAACCATCAGGACAACCATCGGGACAACCATCGAGACAACCATCGGGACAACCATATCCTCTCTCTCTTGTGTATTCCCACATCCCTCAGGAATTTGCCCTAAAGATGTGATCAACTATCTTGTGAGTACGTATCATGTGTATCATGTGTATCATGTACCATATGCATCATATGCAACAGATGTTCTGTGGAAGGCTTAACAACTTCTGTGGGTTAACAAGGCTTAACAACTTCTGTGGGTGTACGAACGTAGGCTTAACAACTTCTGTGGGTGTGTACTCCACGCCAGTGTAGTAGCCACGGTCGTCCGCAGGCCACGAAGTGAAGTGTCCGAACGTCATAGGGCGGGAAGCTGGGTGTGGGTGGTGGCGAAGAGTCGTGTGGATATTTGGTAGAGCTTGCACTGCCCCCCCACAAAGTGGGGGTATTGGCTGGCGTCGCATGAAAACCCTGGCACTGGTGAGAACACTGAGCGTTCGGGTAAAGTGATTGTTGTTGTTGTGGTCGTTGTTGTTGTTGTTGTTGTTGTCGTTTTTGTCTGTGTGTGCTGTGCGTGTGTGTATGTGTGTGTGTGTGTGTGTGCGTGTGCGTGTGTGTGTGTTTGTGTGTGTGTGTGTGCGTGCGCGGTGTGTGCAGCGTGTGTGTGTGTGTGTGTGTGTGTGTGTGTGTGTGTGTGTGTGTGTACGCGCGCGTGTGTGTGCTGCCCCGCGTTGCTTGACTTTCTTCGCTTCGACGCTGCGCGCGGGGCCGCGACCGCCAACATGTGGTGTGTGTATGTGTGTACGTGCGTGCGTGCGTGCGTGCGTGCGTGCGTGTGCGTGTGTGTGTGTGTGTGTCTGTGTGTGTGTGTGTGTGTGTGTGTGTGCGTGTGCGTGTGTGTGTGTGTGTTTGTGTGTGTGTGTGAGTGCGTGTATGTATGTATGTGTGTGTATATATGTGTGTTCGTGTGTTCGCGCGCGAGCGTGTGTGTGTGTGTGTGTTAAATGACGGGGAGTGTTCGGTTCCAGGGCGTTCCAGGGGCTCTTTGGGGTCCCCTTCCCCCTCTCCTTTTCACTTCTCCCTCCTGCCTCCGTCGTTTGTCCTCTCACTCCTTCCTCCTTCCTCCTCCTCCTCCGTGTCGTCCTCGTCGTTCTTCCTGACACCTCTCATCCCCTCTTCGTGCTCCCTCCCTCTCTCCTCTTCCTTTTGTCGTTCAAGAAACCGCCCGAGAGGCCTCCCACATATGCGCTCAATATGGTCTTACAGGACTTCCCCCAGGAGAGTCCCAGACGGCTCTAGAGGGTTCGAGAATGTTTCAAAAGGCACCTACGCTGCCCACTACCTCTGCCCCATAAGTTCAGATCATATCTGCGAGTAGCCCCAACCAGCACGGCGCGGCAATTCCCAGACCCCTCCTGGGACGCCCCCTTGAGGTTTTTCTATTGGGGGGCTTGTAGTTGTTTTTTGTTGTTTCTTTTGCTGTGTGTGTGTGTGTGTGAGCGCGCGCGCGCGTCTGTGTGCGTGTGTGTGTGTGTGTGTGTGTGTCCGTGTGTGTGCGTGTGTGTGTGTGTGCGTGTGTGTGGGGCGTTTTTTTTGGGGTGATGGTCGATGGTTTGTATCCCCCCTGCCGACCTTGAAGTTGTCAGCTCCACTGCCCGCGCAGCCATCCCACCCACTTACCAGCAATATTGTTTGCAAAACCCATGCGATGGCGATTGCGATGACTGCTCGGCGCTGGCTGGCGAGCTAGTTTGGCGCGACCGACGCGGCCGCGGTGGCGCTGCCCGCTGGGTACTCCCCAGCGGGCAAGTCGGTGCGAGTCGGCGACTTGGGCGGGCGCGGCAGTATGGCAACGTCGATAATGGTAGACGCGATGATGATACAGGCCTCGGAACAAATTAGCGAACAGTCATACCACATTCATCTGTCAACGGCTCCCCCTCCCCCCAATGTTCAAAGTTGGCGGTGGGTCTGATGAGATGCACTTCGACCGCAGTCTCCCCCGCGCGTGTCAACAGTGAGGTTGGGGGGGCGGGGCAGTGTTCAGTAATTGTTTCCCTCTACCGTAGCAGCGATGCTGGTGACGATGACGACAACGACGACGGCACGGCCACCAGTGACGGCGCCGATGCTCACCACGCCGGCGACGATGACGGCGTCCCCGCGTCGGTGGTGAAGGTTTTGGAAGGAACTCGACGTGTGCGCACGCGGTCGGCGCGAGAAAGCGGCCCGCGTGGTGTCATTTGACACAGATGGCCCGCGTGCTGCTGCTGCTGCTGCTCCTCCTCCTCCTCCTCTTCCTCCCCCCTGCTTTCCCTCCGCTTCTGCTCGTTGCTTCCCTCCCTTTCCTTTCCTCCTGCTTCCTGCCTGCTGTTTCCGCCTAGCCCGTTTTCTGCCTGCCCGCCCGCCCCGTCGGCCCTGGCCTCCCGCCTGGGCGTTCGTCGTCGTCTGCCTGCTTCTCCCCTCTTCGCCCCCTTCCGCCGGACCGCGCTGCCTGCCCGGAACCACGAGGCGGGCTGCTGTCCTCTTGAGGCACTTGTTATATTTGTGGGAACTCGCCAGACCGCGAGCGCATTTTTTCCCCCTTTTAAGCGTATGTTCCATCATCAGTTTTTCATTCCTATGTTTTCGGGACGATCGGTTTTGAAATCCCCACGACAACTTCGGGATTTTGAAGGATTCCGGCATGCGCGCGCGACGACGCGCGTGTGTGCCTTTCGTTCCGTTTTTTTTTTTTTTTTTTTTTTTGTTTGGCACCGGTTCTTGCGACAGCACGCGCACAAGGGCGTTCGAATGATTTCGACATGCGCGAGCGAGGGGCGCGCGTTCGCATGTTTTTGGTTCACATTCTTTAATATACATATATATACTGTAAACAAGCAATACAGTTTTTGTTTCGTTTTAAATTATACGTTCAAATTAAAACCTGCAAGAGCGCTGGCGCAGTTCATGTTGCAACTTCAAACGCATTATGATATAATCGTCTTGTTGCGGTGTTATGTGTTCTATATGTTTTCTGGGCGCTCGAATTCGAAATCCTCGCCACACCGAAGGTTTGCGGAGGATTTGGCATGCACGTGCGACGACGCGCGCGCGTGCACTTCGCCCTCCTTTTGTTGCAGAGGGTTCATGAATAATGATGTTTTTGGATAAGCGAGTTCGCGCGCACAGTGTTCTTTTCAGAGGATGAAACGGGGGGGCGATACCGCTCTAGCTGGGATAATCCGATTTCGCATTTTGGATGGACCAGGGTGCAAGATAAACAAAAAAACAATACGCGAAGGGGTACTGTTAAGTCTGGGGGGTGGGGTGGGTGGAGGGTCGAGTTTAGATGTTTCTCAGAAAGGAGAATCGAATCATTGTTTTCTCTTTCTTTTGTGTCAGCGTTGTTTTTATATCCCCGGTGCTTTCCCTAGGATATATCATCAATCGCCTTCTTTATGTTTTTTTCGTTTTTTTTTTTTTTTTTTTTTGTCAGGTGTTCCCCTGCCCGCCCCAGGAACCCACCAAACAAACAAGTATAGTATTGTGTTTTCTGTTCATAATGCGGGTTTTTATTCTGGGTTCCTTCCGCCCCCCTCAGGAGGTTTTCTTTTTGTTCTTACCTGGACTGTTCTTGCACCTACGGCTTCTTAAGGAACTGGGCCTGTGTGGTACTCTTGCGGCTATGTTGTCGCCGTCGCCGCCGCGTCGCCGCCTCGTCGCCGCCCGTCGTTTGGGCCTGTATGGTTGTCTGGCGGTTATGTTGTCGCCGTCGCCGCCCCGTCGCCGCCCGTCGTCTGGGCCTGTGTGTTGGTCTGGTGGCTATGTTTTCGCCGTCGCCGCCCCGTCGACGCCTCGTTTCGAATTCGTTTCGTTTTTTATTATGTGTGTGTTCTTTCTGGGTTTTTTTCGCCTTCCGGATCCCCCAGGAACTCCCCCCCCCCACACCCCCTTGAGTTTTTGTTGTCGGGTGTTTGTATTTTTTTCGGAGGGGTTTTCTCCGGCCCCGCAGCCCCCCCCTCCAAAAACAAATTCGCCTTGAGGAACGTTTTTTTTTTTTTTTTTTTTTTTTTTTTTTTTTTTTTTTTTTTTTTTTTTTTTTTTTTTTTTTTTTTTTTTTTTTTTTTTTTTTTTTTTTTTTTTTTTTTTTTTTTTTTTTTTTTTTATATATTATATATATATATATATATATATATATATATTATATATATATAGTATATATGTATATACATATATATGTATATAATATGGGGTCTTTTCGGAGGTTCCCCTGGCCCCCCACAGGCCCCCCCCCAAAATCCATATGAATATCATATGAACAGTTTTTTTTTTTTTTTTTTTTTTTTTTTTTTGTTTTTTTTTTTTTTCTTTCCTCCATATATATATATATATAATATATACATATATATAATATAATATATTATACTAATTCATATATATATATATATATGAACCTTCCAAGGAAACCTATGCGGAGTCCACCTGAGCGTGCGCGACGCCGTTGATGGATAACGTGAGTTTCATCCATCTTCCGTAGCTGTGTTGGCTTGCGACAGGCAGCGGAGTCACCGGGCGGTGCCGCCCGTCTGTGGCCGCTGCCGAGCCACTCTGTCTACTGAAAGACTGCCGCGCCGCGCGCGGCCACTTGCAGGGCCACGCTCAAACGACTGATTCTGATCAGCCTCGCTGGCAGCCTTGGTGGGGTGAGGGGAGCGAGGACCTGGCTGGGAGACGAGGATCCCGGGCGCGGGTCGCCCCTCTCCCGCTTTGTTGCTGGCGAGGAGCCCGATGGACCGGGCAGCCCCAGCTGCCGGCGGGTGGCCCTTCCCGAGAGGAGCCTGGCTCGACGCGGCGCTGAACGACGAGCTGGTGGCGGGGCTGCCGCCGAGGGCTGGTGCACGGGTCCTGGCGCGGGTCTAGGACGACGCAGGGGCGCCGCAGGGCGTCGAGATGCTCGAGGTCGAGGTCGCCTACCAGGCGGACACTTTCGGCAGATTCATCAAGGCCCGGCAGGTGGGCGCCAGGGACCCGTACATCTCATGGTAGGCGGCCACCTGCGGGCAGCGGGGCGCACGCCCCGCGGCCACGGTCTTCCACCTCTGCAGGTGCAGCGCCAACAAGTGCGGGACGGTCGCTCCAGCTGGCGCTGTGGTCGAGCACTTGGTCGTGTGGCAGGTAGTGGACCCCCGCGGCGTGGCCCGCGAGCGGGCGAAGCTCATCTGCCCAGCAGCGAATCCTGGGGCGCCTGTGCGGACCGACGCGCCCTCGGCCGAGCCACTGCCTGGAGAGGTCGGCGGCTGGCCGCTCGGGGATGGGAGCAACAAAGTCGAGGAGGAGCCTCGCGGGCCTCCGCACAAGTGCGCCCGCGAGGTGGAGGGCACCCAGACCCCGGGCGGTCCAGGAGAGGCGAGCCCACTCGACCAGGAGATCGCCGGGCTCGAGGAGACCGCCGAGGACCCCGAGCTCGAGGCGCGGCTGGCGCGGCTGGAGGGCAGGGCAGCTCGTGGTGTGCCGAGGCAGGGCACGCCCAAGAACGCTGCGCGCCCGGCAGGAGCCGTAGGCGAGCGCCTGGCACAGGATGTTGCTGGCCGAGCCGCCGCTGCTGCCCCAGCGCGCACTGGCGCCTCGGGGAGGAGGAGCAGGCCAGCATCGGCCGTGACCGCGGCGCTCCTGGACCGCGACGACGACGACGTGGAGGACGGCGCGGAGAGCGACACAGGGCGCCTTGGGGGCCGCGACCGCTACCAGGGCGCGAGCAGCAAGCGCGACTTGTTCGGCTGGATTGCTTGACAGCGGCCCGACGCTCTCCTCGTGAGTGGGCTTGGCCACCTGCGCAGCCAGTTCACTCAGCAGTTGTCTGCAGGCGAGGCCGACCTGCGGGCCCCGTGTGTCGCACAGTTCCTGAACACGGTGTTCTTCGATGCTCACCCGCCGCAGACGCTGGGGTCAGTCGAGGGGCGGGTCCTCCGCCCGCCGGGGCTGGCGCTCGACGGCATCCTGCGCGGGGAGGTCATCAAGACGGCGGATCTGGTCGTGCTGGAGTTCAAGGCGCGGTCGATGGCCATCCGCGACGGAAACTGGCAATCGGCACGATGGCTCACGCTGGTCGCGCAGGAACAGCTTCCGTCAGGCACCTCTCTGGACGAGGAGAACGCTGCCGAGAAGGTCGAGGCCCGGGAGCTGAAGGTCGCCGAACTCCACCAGCGACTTGCAGACCGCAGGCCGGGCTGGGGGCCTGGCCGGGAGCCGTCTCCGTTGCTGGGGGGGACGGCACCTGCAGGCCATGGGCGCGCGGAGGCGCGCCGCCCGCCCCCTGCTCCCGGGACGCCAGACTCAGGATCGCCCGAGGCGATGAGGATCCTTGCCGGACGAGACCCAGGCGACGGTCCAGCAGCTCTCCGCGCCGGGAAGAAGCCGCCAGCAGCGCGGAGGACCAGCTGCAGTCCCACGCGGTCGGTCCAGCTCCTGAGCGACTCCGAGGGGGACCTCGACGCAGCAGCCGCCGCCCGCGTGCCACCAGCGGACGCGGCTGCAGGCCGGAGCTTCGCGCAGCACAAGGCGGCCCACCCGAGGCGCGAGGGCGAGGCCCAGGCGGCGTGGAAGGCGCACATTGGGAGGCCGCCGGCTGCCAAGAGCCGCGGCAAAGGCAAGACGGGGAGGAGCCGCGGCGCGAGCACTGCCCGCAGGACAGCCCGGGTTCGGGCGTGAGGGCTGACGCTGCGGAGGCCGCGGCCTCGCGCTCGCCCCCGCCTGCCCTCCGCCCGCCTGAGCGGCAGCTGCGCGGCAGCTCGCGGGCTCGGCGGTGGCGCCAGATGCCAGCCGAGGTGGGCACAGGTGTCAGCTCCAAGTTCAGGCTCGCCCTCGCGGTCCACGAGGCGGTGCACGGTTCGCCAGGGGCGATCGGGCGGTATGTTTGTGAGATGTGCACTTCGCCAGACCCCACGGCCAGCTTCGCGCGGCTGCGCGAGGTGTCGCCGTTACCGTTGCCCGACGCCCCACTCTTCGAGAGGCACCGTGCCGCCTGGCACTTGCACCAGCAGTTGCCGGAGACCTGCGAGGTGGACGCCGCCACGGCGCAGGGGTGGGCCCTGCTCGTGGACTTCGGCCTGAACTACCCGTACATGGGGCACATGCGTTGTCCAACCGTCGCCGCGAGGCGGCCCGCGGCAGGTCAGATCAGTGCGCTCGGCATTGTGCAGGAGGTGTGTGTGAACTTCGTTCAGGATGCTGCCGCAGCGTTCGAGCTCCCGGACTGGGACCAGGTCATCGCGTCGAAGACCGACTCCCACGGGGGCGAGGTGACGTCCCGCGCCCCGCCGCTCTCGCTTGCAGGCAACATGCCAGGCCTCCCCGCGCAGGGCGCCCCCGCATCGGTCAAGGCGGTCGACCTCGCGGACGCTCAGGCGGGCGCCTGGCTTGCCGGCCCCACGCTGGCTTTGCTCCCTCGGGAGGAGTCGCCTGCCGAGGTCCCGCGGGCGGCGATCCAGGTCACGTCCAAGCAGGAGTGGTACCGCATCTGGACCAAGCTCGTCGAGCTGGGGCTGGCTGCGCCGATCGCCGACGACCGCATCTTCAAGGTCGGGGGCCGCAGGGTGCTCGCTGAGGCGTTCGGGGACGCCAAGGGCGGCACGCGGTCACCCGGCCAGGCGTGCGTCCAGCGCCTGATCATCAACATGGTCCCGGCCGACAGCTACCATCGCATCATGAGGGACGACATTGGGACCCTAAGTGCATCGCCCTCGTGGGTCGCCGTCCCGCTCCCAGAGGGCCACATGCTGCTCGGGTCCTCAGATGACCTGGCCTCCGCTTTCTACGGCTGCGAGCTGCCCGAGGCTTGGCAGCCATGCGTGGCCCTCGCGGAGGCGATCCCGAGCGAGCTCATCGGTGTGCCGGGTCCAGGGAAGACACACCTCGCGCTGCTCGTCTTCCCGTTGGGCTGGATCAACGCGGACTCGGTGTTTCAGCACTGCCACAGGCGCCTCGGGGTCGGCTCTCGTCCCCTCGCTGCGGGGTTTCCCGCGGATCTCGAGTGGCACAAGGACCGCCCACTTCCGTTCAAGTCGAGGGGGCTCGAGCAGCAGTGGGTCCAGTACTGCATCGACGACTGGGACCATGGCGAGGTGGTGCCCAGCGCGATGGTCGCGGAGCTCATCGGCGCGGTGAGCTGCGCCCCGGAGAAGCAGAGGGCCGCCTACGGCTGCTCGGGGACCAGCGTCGCCCCCGGCAAGGTCAAGCACCGCGCGCTGGTCCTGGAGCAGATGGGCGCGGGGTTTGACGGGGCCGTCGGCCAGGTTGGAGTCACGACCGAGAAGCTGCACCAGTTGCTCGCGCTCATCCTGTGGGGCGTGGGCAGACAGGGCCTCTCGACGCAGGGCATGCTCATGGTCCTGGGCAGGTGCGACAGGGCAGCGGAGTTCAGGAGGCCTTTTGTGGGGTTCCTCAACAGCGTGGGGGCTGCTGGGTGCTGGACGCGACCGCAGGCTGTTCCCCTTGGCATGTGCGACGAGCTCTCGGACTCCGCGATGGCGCTGCCGCTGGCATACACCGACCTGCGCGCAAGGATCGACACTTGTGTCATTGCGACCGATGCCAGTGAGCGCGCTGGGGGCATCTGCCACACGGCTGGGCTCTCGGCGCGGGGCGTTGCCTGCGCGAGGGGGGGAGCTTCAGCAGTGACTTTGCGGCCTGGTGCAGTTGCGGCTCCTGTGCGTGGTGCGCGGTGGCCCCCTCGCATAGCTCTCATCGAGCTCTACGCAGGCGCTGCTGGGGCCGCGGTGGAGGCCTCCAGACTCCCGAACGACGTGATCGCCCCCGTCAGCTGCGAGGTTGAGCCCGCTGCCCGGCGACTGGTGAGTCGCCGCTGGGCGGGCGTGATCGAGCTTGGCCTCATCGAGGCCGTCGACACGGTGCGGTTCACGGAGATGCTGAAGGGTTATGCGCGGGACGCCGACCGGGTCGTCTTGTGCGCGGGAAGCCCGAGCCGAGATCTTGCAAGCATCAATGTCGTGGGGACCGACCTAGAGGGGTCGAGGCCGAAGCTCTTCTTCCCGGTCCCCGAGCTGATCCAGGCAGCGGAGGTTGCCTGTCCTAAGCGCACCATGGTGTTCGTCGAGAATGTGTCCAGCATGACCCTGGAGTCGAGGGCGGAGATCACCAGGGCGCTGGGAGTCACGCCCGTGTTCCTCGGTCCCAGGTGTCACGCTCACATCAAGCGGCCGCGCCTGTACTGGTGCTCGTGGCCCGTCACGGCGTTCTCGGCGTCCGACGCCACCGTCGAGACCAAGGGTGTGGGTGAGGCCGCGTACTTCAAGGTCTTGCTTGTGGTGGAGAGGCTCCCACTGAATGCCTCGGTCTTGGAGGGCTGGTCGACGCTGGACCCAGAGGCGGACCTCCCGTGTTTCACGAGGCCGATCCCGGGACGCCACCCGCCGTTCCGGCCCGTGGGCCCCGACCGCGCCTCGGTGCTGGCCGCGGAGCGCTGGGCTGCCGACAGCTACCGCTACCAGGTCGACAACGACGGGGACGGCAGCCTCATCTGGGACGCGAGGCGTCAGCAGGGCCGGCTGCCCGTGCCTGAGGCGAGCTGGAACGTGGTCCCCGATTTCCAGCAGCCAGGCTTGAGCTGGCAGCGGCCCGGGCACATCTCGGCGCTGGTGCTGGAGGCTGCGGTGGATGGAGCGCGCTGGAGGTGCCGAGCAGTTGAGAACCACCGCTGCCGCTACCTGCACATTCTGGATGCCCAACCGTTCACGGCAGTCAGCACCAAGGGCAGATCGAGCGTGAGGACTTTGCAGCCCGCGCTCCGGCAGCTCAACTCCCTGCTCCTCGCGACGGCCGGGTACCCGCTGTACAAGTACTGCGACACCGTCGACATGCCCGCCGACACGCCGCCCCGCTGGAGCTATGGCCGCCGCTGCCACGCTGCCAGTGCTGCCGCCGGCGAGAGCCAGGAGAGCCGCCCCTGGCAAGCGTGCAGCGCAAGCAGCAGCAAAGGAAAGCCGGGTCACGGCCCAGGCGATGGCGCGACGAGCTGCAGCGAGGACCCAGCCGCTGAGGGAGGCGATGGTCACGCCGCTCACCCTGCGGCGGTACCGTGCGGCGGTCGGGGAGGTCGTTGATTTCTGGATTCAGGAGCACCGCCAGCCGCAGACGCCCGCTCAGGTCGACGCTGGCGTGGTCGCCTTCATCGAGAGCCGTTGGCTGAGCGGAGGATCTTTAGTTGAAGCTAATAATGCAATTGCAGGCATCAGGCACTCTTTCCCGCCCGTGCGAGGGCACCTGCGGACAGCTGGCGCTGGCCTAACGGCAGCGCCTGGAGCCAGCTGCGCGAGCGCTGCCGATCAGTCCTACAACAGCGTTCGCAGGTGCATTGGCGGCCGTGGGCCAGCGTGGCGCTGCGGCGGTGCTGGCAGCAGGCTACGACGCTTTCCTCCAAACGGGTGAGATGACCTCGCTCGTGTGGTCTGATGTACAGCTGTATCCAGTCCGCCAAATGACCGTGCTGCAGCTGCGCAACACCAAGAGCCAGCATCAGACTGGTGCCCGTCAGTTCGTGCTCGTGCGGAGCGGTGTAGCGGTCGCCCTCCTTGCCAAAGCAAAGGCTCAGGCGCACGGACAAGACTGTTGCCTCGAGATGGAGCCAAGCAGTTTCATGAGCACTCTCGGCCCATACGTGAGCTGCTGGAGCTGCAAGATGCCAAGCTCACTCTTTACAGCTGGCGTCGGGAGGCGCCTCCGCCGACTTCCGCAGCCACAGCTCCATGAGCAGACGCTGCTCCGAGGCAGATGGCATCGGCGTGCACGGCCCGCTTTTATGTCCATGATGCCGTCGCCGAAGCCACTCAATTAAATCTCTCGCCCACGCAGCGGAGGCGCTGCAACCTGCTCGCGCGCGCCTGCAAGCAGAGGCGAGATGGACTGTTCTTGCTTTGAACTGCCTGTCTGTTTGTCCCGCCCATCCTCCACCTTTCTTCCCTCATTTCATTACAACAAGGTGGAGGGCATAAGTAAGAGCAAGAGGGAGCGGCTGTTGCCAGGGTAGGGACCGTGGAGAGAGCTAGGGGGTTCAGGGGTTGGTGACGTTTAACCTCCCGGCGGGGCAAGGGCCCAGCGCGTCTGGGACGCAGCGCGGGTGCTTAAGCGCCACGGCTGTGCCAGGCGGGTTGGGAGGCCCTTGGAGGCCGCTGAAGGGACGGGACCTCTCCCAACTCCTGGGTTGACCCCTGAGTAGCCCCCAGAGGTCCTGGCCTGACAAGCTCCCTGGCGGAGTGCACAAAAACAGGTGAGAGAAGCATATATGAACCTTCCAAGGAAACCTATGCGGAGTCCACCTGAGCGTGCGCGACGCCGTTGATGGATAACGTGAGTTTCATCCATCTTCCGTAGCTGTGTTGGCCCACCCACAGACAGGGGGCAGCATTGCTACCGTCTCGCGCGTGGCCGTGCCTGCCTCCGCGCGAGTTTTTGCCAGGACGAGAGCTAGGGGGTTCAGGGGTTGGTGACGTTTAACCTCCCGGCGGGGCAAGGGCCCAGCGCGTCTGGGACGCAGCGCGGGTGCTTAAGCGCCACGGCTGTGCCAGGCGGGTTGGGGGGCCCTTGGAGGCCGCTGAAGGGACGGGACCTCTCCCAACTCCTGGGTTGACCCCTGAGTAGCCCCCAGAGGTCCTGGCCTGACAAGCTCCCTGGCGGAGTGCACAAAAACAGGTGAGAGAAGCATATATATATATTTGTTTTGTTGTGTGTGTGTGTGTGTGTGTGTGTGTGTGTGTGTGTTTTTTGTCGTGTTTTTATCGGGGGTTCTCCAGCCCGCCCCCCCTGGAATCCTTCAAACAATTTGCTTGAGGGGTGTTTGTCAGGGTTTTTAGTTTTTTTCTGTTCGGGGTTTCTCTTCACCCCCGCAGGACCCCTCCAAAACAAGACCCTTGAGCTTTTGGTTCTTGTTTTTCGTGCGAGGTTTTCTCGGGGGGTCCCGTGGCCCCGTCGGGACCCCCCTTACAAATCCCTTTGAGGGGGAGGTGCTTGTTTTCTATCCGCAAAGGCTTCGCCCCCTGCAGCTGGCCGTAGCAGTAGTGGTAAGAGAAGAAGAAGTAGTAGTAGTCGTCGTGTCATTGATCCAGGTCCCTGTGGCCATGTAGCGACTGGTCTGATCGGTTTGCACTCACGCTCGCAGTTCTTTCCCCCAGGCGTCGGACGTCACGACGTTTTCACACCCCTCTCTCTATCATAATGGGATATATCAGTTTCGCGTCCGTGCGTCTCGGCGCTGCCTTGGCGCATCTGGGAACATCATGCGGGGGCGGATAGGAATCATCAGCGCATATTGAGACGTTGGCGTTATCCTAGTGGCCTTCGGCCCATCCCGCCGTGCCTGGGTTGTGGGTCTGAGGCCTCTCGTATATGTGCTGGGGCGTCGTGCGGAGCCTCTCGGGGGCCTAGAAGCGGTTTGGGCGCCTCTTGGGGGCCTCTTGGAGCCTCGTGGGGTATCTCTTGGGCCTCTTGGAGGGCTCTTGGGCGCGTCTTGGGCGCCCCTTGGGGCCTCATGGGGCCTCTTGGCGGCCTCTTGGGGCCTCCTGAGGGCTTCTTGGGGCACACATATCGAATGTTCCGTTCGTGGTCCCCTGCTTGGGCCCCTTTACGGGGCCGTCTTGGGGCCCTCTTGGGCCGTCTTGAGCGCTTCTTGGACCATCTTGGAGCCCTCTTGGGCCATCTTGGGGCCCTCTTGGAGGCGTCTTGGGTTTTCTTGGGGCGGTCTTGGGAGCTTCTCGAGCCGTCTTGGAGCGTCGGAAGGCCGAAAATGCGAGAAGGCCAGAATCCATCGAAAACCTGGTAAGATCTACGATTTTGGCCTCTTGCGGCTCTCTCGGGGGGCCTCTTGGAGCGCTCTCGGGGCGTCTTTGGGGCTTCTTGGGCCGTCTTGGAACCATCTTCGGGCACCTTGGAGCACTCTTGGCCTCGGCAATGCGAACACGGCGTAATTTGCAAAAAGGTCTATGGCTTCGGGTACGCGAATATTGAGTAGTTTACAAGGGGTTTGTTGCCTCGGGGACGCGAGTATTGTACAATCTCTGAGGGTTTGGTGCTTCGGGGGCGCAATAATTGCATACATTACGAAGGTTTATGGCCTCGAGGACGCGAACATTGCGTAATTCACGGAAAGGATCATGGCTCCGGGGGCGCGAGTCTCACGTATTTTTACATGTCCCACGCCCCCCCACGAATTCAGAGAACACGATTCGCGCGTGGTGACCCGGTCGTTTGGGACTCCCCCCCTTCGCGCAGACAGTAACAATTTACAGTAGGAAGGAGAAAGTGAAACGATCATAACAGGCACCGGAACCTGCAACTGGAGCAGGGAGCAGCAAGTCTGTGCGCCTCGCGGCCTGATGGCCCCGCAGGGGGGCCGGTGGACCCTTGGGGTTCTCCTCCAGCTCTCCCTCTCCCTTCTCCGGCGGAAAGCCGCCCCCAGGGTTGGGATGCAACTCCTGGGAGGTCACATTCTGATTTTGCACTGGTCCGAAGTCCGGCTTAATCTGGCTTAATCTGTTTAATCCCGCTTAATCTCGCTTGATCCCGCTGAATCCGGCTTAATCCCGCTTAATCCGTGGCCCAGTCCGGCGTAATAGCTCCCAAATGGGGCTTACTTCTTCTTTACTCTTTCCGACGAAAACCTCCCAGTAGTTGCCTCCTAAACAGGGAAGGCTCGGGGCCTCTGGGGCTGCCAATGGTCAAAGTCCCACCCTTGGCTGTCCGGGGAGTGTGTGGGCGACGCGCACAGGGCGTCGGCGCGGGGGGGGCGCGGCCTTCGAGGAAGGCTGCGGGGGGGGCTCTCAGAGGGCAGGGGGTTTCGGCTTCTGTCGGGCGGGTGGCAATGGGGGTGACCCCTTCATTGGGGGGGGGGAATGGCCCTGAAGGGGCCCTTTCGGGCCCCTTTTGGGGCCAGTTGGTGCCCAAAACGGGCCCCAAAGGACACCTTCAGTGTTCTTATCTTCACGCCCCATTTGGGTCACCCCCTTGAGGGCCCTTCTCTTCACGCCCAGAGGTGAATGCCAAGCAACGCAGAGAGCGCATCCGGAGGTGCACTGAGAAGCAGCCGGATTTGCAGAGCGTGGTCGCCGTTTTTTTGCGCACCGTTTCGCCGATCGGCGCGGCCTCTGGCCTCCTCCCTCCCCCCTCCGTAGACCAGTTTTTGGCTGCTTTTTGGCGGCCGGTTTCCTGCGACTGGTCGGAACTCCTGCCCACAGTCTGCTTGCACGACTGGCATAAGCAGATCGACTAAGCACCGGCCCAGACCCCCCCCCACGCCCCCACCCTTCGGCCACATGTCGAACCCGAGACTAGAAACAGTTCCTGCGTGAAGAAGTCTCGATCGTCATCGTGTTCTCGTTGGACTCTGGAGTTCCCGTGTGATTGCTTTGCCTGGCCCTCTGCCCCTTGGAAGGGGCAGGCCGACATGGGCGTTGCAACCGTGGCCGCTGTGACTCGCTTTCCGGCGCGTTGAAAGGCTAGCCAACAAGCAGCCGGCGCGGTGAGCGACTGGGCTGTGGGGCGCAGCGCACTGGGGCCCAACACGAGCCCGCTTCTTTATTGCTTGGGGCATGACGGGCGTCATGGTCCCCGCTCCCCCCCCCTTATGACGTAACGCTCCCCCCCCCAGTGCGCTCCGGGCATTGCCGCCGTGCGCATTGGGATCCGCGTAGGTGTCCGCGTAGGAATCCGCATAGGTGTCTGGTCCGCAGGCGTCGTCGTCGTCGTCGTCGTCGTCGTCGTCGTCGTCGTCGTCGTCGTCGTCGTCGTCGTCTTCGTCGTCGTCCGTCGTCGTCGCTCGTGGTTCGTCGCTCGTCGCTCATCGTCGTCGTGCGCGCGGACTCGGCTGGAGCCTGTTCTTTAGTCCGGGCCGATGACGGCAATCATCTGGGGGGGGAGGGGGTCGATGACGTCACGTTTCGCGCCGGCGGCGTCTGGGAATGCTTAGGAATGACGGAGGACGGGTAGCACGAACATGTAGGTGGCGATATGCACCACAACGCCTGTGTACATCACAGTGCCCGCGTGCACCGCAGCGCCAGTGTACACCACACCGCCGATGTACACCACAGCGGCCGCGTGCAACACAGCGTCAGTTTGTGCCACCGTGCCTGCGGGCACAGCAGCTCCTGCGTACACCACAACGCCTCAGTACCCCACATCAGCCGTGCGCAACACAGCACCAGTGTACACCACAATGCCTGCGTGCATTGCAGTGCCTGTGTACGCCACGGCGCCTGTGTGCACCACATCATCCGTGTGCAACACAGCACCATTGTTGTGTATGGAATTTCAGAAGGGATCCTTGTGACAAAATGGAGCGCGTGTGGTTTCCAGAGAAAACAATGGAAAGCAAATCCTCATGGACAAAGGAGCGCCGCTGGAATCTACGAGTCCCCCCGAGTCCGCCCGCATCACCCTAACTCCCATTTGCGTCCAGGAGGCTCCAGCTAAACTGGCCGTCCGAGAACCAAGTGGACCGATTCAATCGACCAGAGATGCGCACGTGCGTTGTAACGCCAAGCCGCACGACAGGGGGTAAGAAGGAGGAGGAGGAGGAGGAGGAGGAGGAGGAGGAGGAGGAGGAGGAAGAGGAGGAGGAGGAGGAGGAGGTGGAGGAGGAGGAGGGAGGAGGGAAACACGTCGCATTCGATTCTCAGAACTTTCCTGGCGTGGCGTTTAGTTGTCCGCACCAGATCCTGACGTACATGCTCCTTCTACTTGTCTTGTGCACGCAGGCGCTGTGGTGTACACCAGCGCTGCGTTGCACGCGGATGCTGTGGTGTAGACAGGCGCTGTGGCGTGCACAGGCGCTGCGGTGCACGCAAGCACTGTGGTGTACACAGGCGTTGTGTTGCACATGGCTGCTGCGGTGTATGTACACCGGCGATGTAGTGCTCCCAAGTATTGTGGTATACGCGGGCGGTGCGTTGCACACGGCTGTTGCGGTGTACGCAGGCGCTGTGGTGCACACGCGCGGTGTGGTGCACGCGAGCGTTGTGGTGTACACAGGCGCCATGGGCAGATCGTCACTTACATGCTGCTCGCGTCGTCGTCGTCGCTCGTCGCTCGTCGCTCGTCGCGTCGTGCGCGCGGGCGCGGTTGTGGTGCCGGAGCCACTCGGCGGGGGGGGGCGTCACGTCATACCCCCCCCGCCCTCCCCCCCCCCCATGACGCCCGTCATCGCCGAACATAAAGAAACGCGCTCCACGTATCCCACGCACCGCCCAGGTGCCAGGGGCCTATCGCCGGTCTATCGGCGATGTGTCGCCGATTCTGGCTCGATGTTTCTCCCCTGAGCCAGTCCCTTCATATCGTTGCCCTTCACTTCCGAGAAGACAGGGTGCTCCTTGGAAGGGGTCGGATATTTCTCTGAGTGCTTCCTAGAAGGCAAGAGGGGGTGGCCTTCTCAGAAGTCCCCCCCCATCACCGCTTCTTGTGCGCGCCGGTACTCTTGTATACGTTGGCTGTGGCAGACCTCTCCGCGGAGCCGAACGGTGCGGCTACTTCCACTTCGCAGTCTCTGTGTCTACTCGCAGCCCACTGCTCACGCAACCGCTCTCTTTCTTGATGAGCACTGCTTTGTTGCACTGACGCCCAGGTGAAGGACGAGCTCGTGAGAGCCATGAAAGAGAGCAACTCGAGCATGCGGCACCTCCGTTGGCCGTGCGAAGGGGGCTTCTGGTTTGGGATGTGTTCGCGTAGGTGTTGGTCCTTCCTCCTCCCCTCCTCCCCCACCTCCTCCTCCTCCTCCTCGTCCTCGTCCTCCTCCTCCTCGTGCCCATGTGTCTTCTGTGCGGTGCGGCAGAGCACCTGTCATTGACGAGGAGATATTCACTCATCATCATGTCATAGGAGCTTGCTCCAGGGTCCTTCCAGAGTCAATGGCGAGCACAGGGGGAGAAGGCTAGGGGACAGTCCTTCTAGGAAGCCCCCCGTCCATCGGAAAGTGCAATGGGCATTGCATTCAAACGGGACCGATCCCTTTAAGAATCCCGCTGCCGTCTTCGAAGTGCCCTACCCCAACCCGCCCCCTTCCGCACGCCCCCCGAAATTAGTGGGCCCTGAATGTTAGCAGAGCTGTTTGTTTTACTGTTTCCGGTTACGGTTTGCGACAAGAACAAGCTCTTGAGCACTGGAACCCTGAGAAAGCCGTGACCGAAACGGAAAGCAAACGGCGCCGAAACATAACCAAAAACCGCAATACAAACGGCAACGGAATTTGCAAACGAACGGCGACCGAACCGGAACAACAGCTTGGAAAACGGAACCGGCAGCAAAAACGGCCCGGCGTTTCCAGGGCCCACGAAGCGCCTTCGACCTACGACATGGCCTCCTTGTTCCCCCCGCCCCATGGGCCTCACAGCTCTCGACCCCTGCGCCAGGATTTTTTTTGTTCGAGATAGTTCTTCTGCTGG